ACAACAGGATCTCTGGTTTGTTCCTAGTCCTTGGTCCATTTTGAGTTGAGTTTTGTGCACAGTGAGAGATAGGGTTTTAATTTCATTTTGTTGCAAATGGATTTCCAGTTTCCCCAGTACCATTTGTTGAAGAGGCTATCTTTTTTCCAATGCATGTTCTTGGCACCTTTGTCTAATATAGGATAATTGTAGTTTTGTGGGTTAGTGTCTGTGTCCTCTATTCTGTTCCATTGGTCTACCAGTCTGTTTTGGTGCCAATACCATGCTGTTTTTGTTAATATTGCTCTATAATACAGTTTAAGTTCTGCTATAGTGATACCACCTGCTTCATTCTTCCTGCTAAGGATTGCTTTAGCTATTCTGGGTCTCTTATTTTTCCAGATGAATTTCATGATTGCTTTTTCTATTTCTATGAGGAATGGCATTGGGATTTTAATTGGAATGACATTAAATCTGTATAATGCTTTTGGTAGTATGGTCATTTTGATAATATTGATTCTGCCTATGCAAGAGCAAGGTAGGTCTTTTTAGAGATTAAGCCACAGGATTTAATGCAGCAATAGGGAGTAAACAAATTACATACAACCAGATGATAACTTAAAATATTGAGTGGAAAGAATAAAATTATGTGCTGTATGGTATATAATTATGTATATAAGAAGGCCCTCCACTACCCAAGCCCACCAACACCACTAAAGAGGAAGCTGTAGTTGGCCACCCTGCCATCTTCCTTAGAAGCCTCCCTGTGGCCATCCAACCCTTTTCTCATCTTCCCAGTTTTCATTGTCTGTGGAAGTCTTGGAAGACTGGAGATGTTTGGGCCTATTTATGGGATCTCAATTAGATTTAGTTGTCTATGTGGCTCTCCTTATGCTAGTACCACATTGTGTTGATGAATATATGGAACTGTGCATTATCTAATTTTTCTTCTTTTTCAAGATCATTTTATAACAATTATTTGAAAATTTTTTTGCAGGAAATATTTTGTCTCCTAGACAATTTCTTAACTTGTTCAATAAGTTAGATATATCAACATGAGTTCTTTATTTTATGACTTGAATTATAATCAAACACTACTTTGGTGGCTCAGATTGATCTTTAGCCATTGATCTCTGAGAGTTGACTCCAGTGTCCCTTTGATAAATGGCTATTTTGCTATCTCTTTTTCTCTCTGTCCTTCTCTCTCTCTTTGTTTCTGGCCCTCTCTTCACTTCTTGACTTTCTGGCACTGTATAGCTAGCTCCAGGTTCATCTTACATATTTCCAGCACCTGTTAGGGTCACCTATTTCTCCAGGAATTCTTGGATCCATAATATGGATAATGTTATAGAAACCAAAATTGGGGTGCTGGGTGGAGTTGTTGCTATCGGGTATTGTTGCTTCTGGGCCTTGCCACCTGACATAACTGGCAATAAGTGCTTGTTAACCTGTATATATTTATCTACATAGGTATCTATAAATATTTGGATATGTGCCCTCTGTAACTTCTTTAAGTAAACATGAGTTCATGTTGATGTCTCCAACTCTAATCCATTACCCTGTGGATCATTATACCTCCTTCCCTTGCTCACTTCAGTCATGGTAAAACTGGTTCTGCTCATTTGCCACACATAAATTTCATATTAGTCTTTATCAACCCTTGATTCATTTACATTACTTTAGACTAAAAATGTGTTTGAAGATTCAGGTGTCAGCCCTCAGAGCCATCAGCTTGTGCTATTTTCCATACTCTGCTAGCTGAGCCTCAGGAATCTAAATGGTTAGAGCTGGCTTCACATACTACTACTCTTCCACATCAGTGTTTTCTGCACACTTGACTTACAGAGCATCAACATGAAAATTCCATAAAGAAGCAAGAAAATAATTTTATTTGTAAAACATGGAGAAGATAACAGAAAACAGGAGAAAACTAGAGAGGAAGGTAGGAAGTTTAGGCATTAGTAGGCATCCCATTTGCTATTAGGTGGGGAGGAAATGGGCCTGGCAGCAGTGGAAATGATATGAACTGGGAAGTGGGCCAACAGCATCAGCACCCTGAACTCTCTCGGGGACTATTCTGCAGGGTTATTCTGCTGGATTCATGAACAACCCATTCATTGTTGTCCAAGACCCATTGAGGAATCCACATCCTTCCTGGGGAAAAATATCTTTAGTGGCAGGGGAAGGGCACCTCTTCTTACTGTCAAGCAAGATGGAAGTGTAAAGAAATGTGTGACCACTTGTAATGATGTCAGGAGGAGAATACTGCTACTTCTTCCCTTTATCTAGGTCAAATTCCAGTGAAAAGCAGGAAGGGATGCTACCACTAGGTTTCCATGGAAAACAGGGTCAGAGGCAGACCATGTCAGTTCAAAACTGTGGACATGTCTGTCTCCTTCCCCTCATACTTCTTTAGAATCTTGGGCCTTCAGTTATCTAGAGGAAGGCAAAGGTCAGAGATTTCTCTTAGAAATCTAGACAGAGCAGAAGATCTAGTTTCGGGAGTAGGGAGACAGAAAAAGTGGCTGATTTCCAAGCAGGCTGTTATTTTAGATCAGTTTTTGCTTCCTAAACTCAATTTTATACCTCCTGGATCAAAGTAAAATAGGCTGGTTGGTGGCCCAACAAAGCTGTGTCTAACACACCCAGGGCAGGTGCTATAGGAATCTAAAGACAAAGTTGTTCCTTGCTGTGCACAGGTCAAAGGCAGGGTTGCTAGGAGTGAAGTTGGGAGTGTGCATGCATCCAAGCACAGCTTTGCCTATGCTTTGATATTTCCTCCCACCACCTCATTATAAGTCCTAAATCAGAATGTATCAGAAAATACTCCAGTATTGTTGTTCTTTTTTCTTTTCTGTTGGATATGGGATCTCACTCTATTCAGAGGATGGTCTTGAACTCCTGGGCAGAAATTATCCCCCTCCTTCAGCCTCCTGAGTAGTTGTAACCACAGTTGCACATGCTGCATCTGGTTCGAATATTCTTTATATAAGATTCAAATTCATGCTGAGGCTGTAGCATTGTCTGTCGCCTAAGCAGTTCATTCTAATTACAACTCTGTGGGCTTTGACATCATCAGGATGTGGGAGAAACTGTCACTACACTGTGGAAAGGAAATTGTAAATATCTGCAGATGTATCTTGCATAACCTGAACAGTCTTTTACCAAATAGACAAATAAAGACAATTAAACATAAACCACTATGACCATCTTACAGATAGTCATTTGGAATGTGACAAAATTTAATTTCATTTAATAATAATTTACTAAATGAGTTCTAGGGTTGCCCCTAAGTGTCTCAGAAAAACGGGGAGGGAGACTTAAACATTCCTGAGAGGTTATGCAGTGTTTATGGATGAGAAGGTCACAGATGGAACTGAACAACAAACTCATTTCATTATCAGGAAAAAATAACATTTGGATTCTAGATGTTGCTAATAAATGAGGGAACCTATACATTCTGGCTTCTCTCAAACTTCCTTTTAGTGCTTCTACAGGAAATTTTTGATATACAGAGACATCCAAATGAGTCTCTCATTTGCCTGCAGAGCTATGCCTGGACTGGAGCTATGACCTTGTGCTGGGAGAGATTCTGTTAACACAAGCCAATTGCTGGCTTTACAATGATTAATTATGGTGTATAGAATATGTTCTATGAGCTAAAGTATATGAATGTATACTTCTGTGTATATAAATTATATTAACTTTGATCCATGTAGCTGGCAAGCACATGAGAGCTAATTTAATTCTATAACTCAGACAACAGAAAAGTGCAATTTTGCACTGAGAGTCATAAGGACCAGAGCTCTTACCCAGAATCAACATTAAAGTGCATCTGTGATTGCCTGGGGATGGGATGGGAAGAATCACAACATGCATGAGGAAACTTTGTAAAGGGAAATAATTTTGGGATTTCTTCTTATGAAGATAAACACTAGATAAGCCATTAGAATACTTACCAATAAAATAATATTATAGGATGTAGTAAATCTCAGCAGAGAATTATACACTAGTATGGAGATCCATACGTAAGCACATACTGTATATAATTTCCTCTAGACAAATGTCTAAATATTAGTCATGTATAAGAGATCTCCAGCATAGAATGTTTAAGGATTTATTTTTAAGGACTGTTTTAAAACATCAGATACTACTAACAAAAGGATAAGTTATATGGGAATTATCCATTCACTTTCAAAACATATGAATTCTTTTTAAAAATTTAGGCTACATATAAATTTTAAAATAAAGTTATATTAAGTCAAGATGTTTATATATGAATACATTACCAGTAATTCCAAAAATGTACAACTGCAAGAATGGGATCCTAAGTAGAATAAGTTATACGCCATGTATGTATAATATGTCAAAATACACTCTATTGTCATGTGTACCTAAACATCAAAAAACAAAATATTTTAAAATGTTGCATAGGAGAAGATGGAACATAACACTAGATTCAAGTATTTAATTTAACATGTTAACTTTTAAAGTGGCAAAGCATACATTCTAATCTCTAACATACCCCTTTTACTAACAAAATCCTCTTTACAATATAAAATGCTGATGTCTTTTGGATCTAAAAATGTAATGATATCATTAAATATCATTACAGCATATTAGAAACAACATAAAATGAAAACCTGGCATTCGGATTTCAAACAAATCAAATTTTCCCACAGATTAAAAAAAATTCAGATGTATCATTTACATATCTTTATGGGGTATATCACAATAATTTAATATATGTATACAATGTGAGTTTTATCATACAACATTGACTTTACATCCAGCAGGTCACTATAGTGTCATCTCCCTTTAGTTTTTTGTGATTAATGACTTTGCATAGAATTCATATTATGGCAGATTTAGAGAAACTGTCTCTGTGTGCCCTTCAAGAATGGGGACATTCTAGCATTTCAAGCAGGCTTTGGTATATGACAGATGAGTCTGAACACCTGAGAAATTTTCAGGAAGCAGGTTTATTTAAGCAGGTTTATTTAAGGTCCAGAGGGGCTAATGTAGAATTTCTGGATCCAGAGTATGGACATTCTTTGAGATTTATACTCAGTGGGTAGTTAACAAAACAGGGTGGTTAACATAACAGATACTTTTTGTTCCATTTCTTAGGCTGGACAGAGATTTCACAAGTTTTTTAAGAAAACATTAACTTGCACATCAACAAGTTGATTGCAGACCTAATTTTCACAAGAAAGAGAAACCTGGCCTCTACAACAAAGAGCTCAAACCACAATGGGCTCTTCAGAACTCCTGCTGACATTTTAAAAAAAGATCTTGTGGACTAGGAGAGGGGATTGTATGTTAAAATTAAGTGGTTTTTTTTTTTGGGGGGGGACTACAACATTACCCCTTTTGATGCTCATTATTCAATCCTTTAGATTAAAAACAATTATTATCTTCTTGGCTTAACTTTATGATTTCAGTTGTCTTTTTTAAAAGTGCTGCTTCTGTAGTAGACTCTAGAGTTTTAATGTAAAGGGGAGACACACATGGAAACAATAAACAAGGTAAGGGCATAATGCTTGCTATGTCAAATGAGTTTTTGAATCCACCAAGAATAGAAAACCATCCTCCAAATACTGAGCTTGGAAGCCAAGCTTTAATGCCTTTCAGGTTTGAACTGGTACATGTGCTAGCTTTCTGATATTGTTAACTATGTTTCTGACTTTATCAATCCTTTAGTAAAGCCCAAGGAAATGACTATATATATGATAGAAGTAAGGGGTAGCAATACATCACAGTATAAGAGCTGTCTTAGAGGATGAAACAGTCCATTTATCCTGTTGATGGGTTTATCGTTTACTGTGTGTTGTTCAGCCAGCCCCCAAGTCACTGAAGCAGGGCTGATGTTTCCTCATGCTGTGGGTGTGTGCAGGATAGTCAGCTTCCAGAGTGACTGGAGCAGGCCTAGTGTCCTCTGACCCTCAAGCTTGTCTGGTGTTTCCTTCTTCCTGATGTTCAGCTGAAGGGGTGCAAAGCTGCAAAAGAATGTATATGAGAGTATGAGATTCTATTTTCAGAAGATCCCAAAACAAGACCAAAGGAACAAAATATTACATAATGTATATCTGTGTATGTGTATATACATATAATGATATATTTGGTGACACTGTAAAGAAGCATAAAAACTTGTGGACAGTGCTCCATGTGCATGTGACAGAGGTGGGGATATCCTAGAAGGCTCAAACTATATAGATTTAGCTCATTGTAATTTTTTTCTTCTTTTTTATTTTTTAATTGTTTTAATTAGTTATACATGATAATAGAATGCATTTTGACATATTTTACACAAATGGAGCACAATTTCTCATTCCTCTGGCTGTACATGGTGCAGAGTCATTCCAGTAGTGTAATCATACATGTATATAGGGTAATAATGTCTGTCTCATTTACCATTCTTCCAATCCATACCGCCCCAACCCTCCCCTCACACCATTCGACACAAACCAAAGTTGTTTCTTTCTTCCTTAAAAATCAGCATTATCAGCCACATCAATATTTATAGCAGCTCAATTCACAATAGCTAAACTATGGAACCAACCTAGATGCCCTTCAACAGTTGAATGGATAAAAAAATGTGGTACATATACACAATGGAATACTACTCAGCCTTAAAGAAGAATAAAATTATGGAATTTGCAGGTAAATGGATGGAACTAGAGAAAATCATGCTAAGTGAAATAAGCCAATCCCCCAAAAAACAAAAGCTGAATGTTTTCTCTGATAAGTGGATGCTGATCAATGTAATTTTAAACAAATTTGAAAACAGTTTATGATATCATGATCCCAACCCAACATTTCATGCTTTGGCTTAAAATCTTCCATATATTTTTATTTCATCTAAAAACATGCAGTAATTTTTAACTCCCCACCTCATATGTCAGTTGTCTTCCAAAGTTGCATTTCTAAATGTATCACCTTTAATCTCAGATTATATTTCTGCATGGAAATAATGCTGAATGCCTACCTGGCCCCCAAATTGAGGTAGTGTTCAAGAGCTTAATTTACCCACAGCTTACCATCCTAGCATATTTATTTTACAAGATACAAAACCAAGGTTATACCTAGTTCTGTACCCTGGTCAAGGCCATGCAGTAAAGAGGGATTTGAATCCAGCTCTACCAACTCTGAAGTGTTGGTCTTTTCTCACACTACCCTTTAGCAAGACAAAACTTGATAACTTATATTTTTCCTTTCTTGATAATCTCTTGGAAGAAGCCAATGTCAGGCTAAATTTGGTAGATCTAGGAGGGTATTTTCCAAAGATGCTGCTTTTCCCCAAGTCCAGATGGGTGGAGTCTGGCCAGTCTGGCTCTCCCCAGACTGCTGCAATGTATGCATGCCTTGCACTGTTGCCTAGAGGCCCAGAGCTCAGAGGCCCAGTGCCCAGATGGCCCTGTATCTAGAACCCAGAGTCAGGTTTAGGGAGGAGTCAGGGGAAGTTGGGGATGGGGATGGTGTAGGAAGAAAGGAGAAAGGACTGGAAGGTGCTTCCATGGCTAGGCTCTTAGAGTAGCCAGAGATACCTCTCCAGCTTGCTCCACGGGGTCAAGGTCCAGATCAGGCCAGCAACCCTCAGGCTCTGATCCCAGCCCTTCACCAGTGGGCTGGACCTCCAGTTTTAAGGGACAATCTTCCTCCATCACAGGGAATTTGGTAATATGCTGCCAAGAATGTAAGCAGGCAAATTGGGCCACTGATGCTGGAGGTTGTTCATAGGTGGCAAATAAATATCTTAGTTGTTTCAATTTTAAGCCTCATACTTTCCCAAACACATTCTATTGCATGATTATACACAGAGGATGAAATTATGAAAATTATTGATGAGCTGGTCAGTATTGCAATGACTATATCCTCTTCCTGTATGACCTCTTTGGAATGATTTGGAAGGAAATGATTCCTAGACAAAACACGTCACTTGATAACTCATCTATAGTTTCATATTTGAAAACACTACTAACAAAAACTTTAGTTACCAGTCAAGACCTGGAGTCCTGTGGTGTATCATTATAGAAATATTTATCTCAGTTTCACGAAGAAAAGAGTGTGACTGAACTAGGACCATAGAAATCCCTCAGTGATCCATGGTGTCATTATTTAAGAACACTACTAGACTAATTTAAACTATAACCCCCAGCCCTTTACAATAACAAACAATACTTTTATGACCCACTCTCCCTAATCTTGGGGATTCCCTAACAAAAATATTAACCAGCAGTTATCCAAGCACTGGAGAGCCTGAGTCAGGAGGATCTGGAGTTCACAACTAGCCTCCACAAATTATTGAGGCCTTAAGCAATTTAACTAGACCCTATCTCTAAATAAATACATTTTTAAAAGGCTGGGCACAGGCTCAGTGTTTAAGAACCCCTCCATTCAATATCTGGTACAAAAATAAATTAATAAATAGATAGATAGATATCGATTGATCGATTGATCTATCATCCAAATTTCAGTCCTCTAGATGGTTCTATATTTTCAGCAATGCTCATCAGGGTTTACCTTCTAGAAATACAATTGCATTAAACATCCCAATATCCACTCCCACTCAAAACCCTCCTATCCTAGTTTTCATTCCTCTCAAATGCCTAGCTGTGCTAGCAGTGCTCCTGTGAAATGACTGTGACTCACTTGACAACTATCACATTCAAAGGGGAAAGGATGGCATCTATCAGCTTTGGATTTAAAGGCTTCTGATCCCAGGCTCTGGTAGAAGACTACACTTGCTTTCTCTCTCCCCTGTTGGTCTTTGTTGAGCATCATGGGTCCAGCTTAGGGCCAACTTTGACACCCTAGCTATAAGTGCTTCTAATTTTAGTGGCATCTCCAATGTCTGCCCAAGTATAAACCCCTAAGTTCAACTCAGGGGCCAGCACCTCTCCCAGAAAGGCTGCTTGCATTTTTAAGTCCATGCCCATGACATCACTGGGATCTGGTAGCACAGACTTGCTTCCACACTGATACTGGCCTTTGGAGCACTGATCATCTGCTTCAAAGGAAGAGGGTCCCCCAAGGACCAGAAAGTGCTATGGGGCAAGTCTGGAGCATGAAAGCTGCAGCACCTCTAACCAGAGCACCTCCAGTGACCAAGAGACAAAGGACAAACAGCAAACCTGTGAATGGAGGCACTGGTGCCCCTACATATTCTGCTCAATACAAAGGCTTACTCAAGAAATCCCCAAGTCCCATTCAGGGTGCAGCACCATCCAAGGAAAACCACATGTCTGTGCCCATGGCAGTGACCTCGGTGAAAGGGTAGTGCAGAGACTTTACCCCAGATCTGATATCTGCCTTTGGGTAATGAACATCTCCTTTCAAAGCAGAGGGACTCCCAAGCATAAGACAGATCTATGAATCAAGCTTGGGTCTGAACAACTGTGGTCCCACTAGTCAGAGAATTTCCATGGGGACAAAGTTACATAGGACAAAGACCAACTGTGTGCTTGGAACCACCCATGCATTTACTTTCAGTGTCATCCCCAAAGGGCCACTCAAGGAGAAATGCACAAGTTTGCTTTGGGGCAGCAGTACCACCACAAGCAAGGCTGCATGTAGGCCAGAACATCTGTACTAGCCTCTCACCCTGGCAGCTCTGCTTCTCATGGGGACACAGTGAAGAGGAACCTCATCTTTAGGGACTCTTGCTCATCCACCCAAGGCCTCCTGGACCAACCACCAGACCATCTTCTTCCAGGGCAAGATCCACTCCTGGGGCAGGGGTCCAAGAGAAAATGTTTTTCTCACTAAGCATCCACCTTCTTCCTCATGCGACCTGGTGTCAGCCCTTTTTAGACTCATATCACAAGTCTCACCCTGACCTCTGTGATCCTGGGAGAAGTGGAGGCATCCCTTTCCCACCCATTTCCTGGCAGCTTTGCCCTCAGAGTTGAGAGGCAGGAGGCTCTCATTTTATTTGGCTCTCTGGTGAGGTTTCTCACTCCTACAGAGGCCCTGGTCTGCATCTTTGGTTTCCTTGCTGTTTGAGCTCTTTGGAGGTCTCTATCCTTAGGCAATTTGCATGGATGGGGAAATTTGAAATTGGCAGATTTGTAGTCCAGATAATGAGATGCCTTACACAGAAGACGCAAAATGTTTAGGGAATCTCTGTTGTAATCTGTAAGTATGGAAAATATTAAGCCCATAATATCTCCCTAGAAAGAATTTTCACTGACTGCCCTTCTTGTAACAATGAACCTGTGACCAAGGGGGTAAAAAGATTTAATAGAGCATGGAGTCTGTATATGCTAGAATAAAAGGAAAAAAAAACTGTCTTTAAATAGGTCCCTGAAATATTACACTATTATCCAATTAGAATTGTTTTGTCAAAGACCAGGAACATGGGAAGAAACATTAGGTGTTGGATTTCTTCTACATAAACAAGTCTATTCTAAACTCCTGGTGCAAAGAACTCAAGCACCAAAACAGATGCCTCTGCCACTTGGTGGGGAGAGTGGAATAGCAACAAAAATGGGGTAAATGAGGCTGAGCGAGTGAGTTTCATGGGCTGGAGTCCTCCAGGGACCTCAATTTTACCTCTACAAGAGAGTCACAGAGGACAGGGTGACTAAATCAGGAAGCCTGGAGGACTTTGAAGGTGACTTAAAAATAAATCTCACTGTGGGATAGTGGGGCAAATGACAGGTGAATCAAATGCTCCATGGTAACCACTGGAGTAAGGGGGGTGAGCAGAGGATGGATGTTGCCACCTTGACTGCCTCAAAGGCACCTGAGGTTATGGGGCTAGGGGCAGAGGGCTTCACCATTAGTCCTTGAACCCAGGTTTCTGAAGTTGTCGGGGGCTGGGGATCACCTACATGCCTTTGTTTATGCAGAGCCTCCCACCAAGACCCATCCTGTGTGTTCTAGTTGCAACTCAAGTTTCAAGCTCCAGTCAAGTCATTACCTCCTTCTAGAAGCTTCCAAAACTCTTCATACCCCATGTGGGGACCATGAGGTGCCCCCTCCATGTTCCACTAAC